CTCCCCGCACACCCCCTCCCCGCACACCCAGGCATCAGCGGCGCGTCTTACTACGAGGGCAGCTTCTCCAACGTGGCGCGCAGCGCCGGGGGCAACTACGTCGCGGTGTCGTCCCGCGGCAACTTCTACATGACCTGGGCGCCCGGCCAGAGCTACTGGCAGCCCCACAACCGCCCCGCCGCGCGGCGCGTGCAGAACATGGGCTTCACGCCCGACGGGGAGCAGCTGTGGATGAGCACGCGCGGCGGCGACGTCTACTTCTCAAAGGACACTGAGGGCACCGGGTTCGAGACCACCAAGCTCTCCAGCCGCGGCTTTGGCGTGCTCGACGTCGGGTGCGTGCGTGTGTCGCGGTTTGTGTGTACATGTGTTTGTGTGTGTGTGCGTATGTGTGTGTATGAGTGTGCGTATATGTGTGTCTGAGTGTGTGAGAGAGAGAGAGAGAGAGAAAGAGAGAGAGAGAGAGAGAGAGAGAGAAACAGAGAGAAACAGAGAGAAACAGAGAGAAATAGAGAGAAACAGAGAGAAAAGAGAGAAACAGAGAGAAACAGAGAGGGAGAGGGAGTGAGTGTGTGTGTATATGTGTGTGTCTGTGTGTGTACACGCGCGCATGATGCCCTTGCAGGGGTTTCCTCCCCAGCGTTACGGCGCAGTCGAAGGGCCTTGCAGGGGCTCAGGGGTCTTTGAGGGTGACGGGGCCTTCTGCATGATGGGGGCTCTAGCGGCACGGCGGCAGGGCACGACACCGCCGCCTACCAGTCTTTCCCGCGCTCTCCCGCTCACCCGCTGCCACATCGGCGCTCTGCCGGCGCCTCTCAACACGCAGGTTTGCGTCCAATGACGTGGCGTTTGCGTGCGGCGGCAGCGGCAGCCTGTTCAAGAGCTCCGACGGCGGCAAGACCTGGAAGCGCGACAAGTCGACCGACTCCGTGGCGGGTGGGTGGCGCTGCGCGCGCGCCACTGTGTGTGTGTGTGTGTGTGTGTGTGTGTGTGTGTGTGTTCATGCGCGCGTGCACGCACACGTGCGCGCAATAGTGTGAGAGATCACGTCTGTGAGAGGGGCTTGATTATGGGGGTACAGCGCGGCCACCAACCGTTGACTGTGGGGGCCATAGTGTGAAAAGTAGCCCAAAGTGTCCACTTTCGCTGGTGGTGGATCGTCTCGGCGTGGCTGTCGACGCTGCCGTGACAGGCTGCCATCGCTGCTGGACACCCCCTGCCCCCCCTTTATCAGCCCTGCCTTACCCTCCTTCCACTCTGCCGCACCCCCTACCGCCCCTCCCTGCAGGCAACCTGTACTCGGTGCGCTTCTTCGGCAACAAGGGCTTCATCCTGGGCAACGATGGCATCCTGTTGAGGTGGGTGCATGTGCGAGCAATAGCGCGCGTGTGCAAATCACACGCGCAATAGTGCCTGCCCGAGTGTGAACGCGTGAGTGAGTGCAAGAGAAAGACTGAGCATGTGTGTGTGTGTGTGTGTGTGTGTGTGTGTGTGTATACACGCGTGTGTCCACGTGTGTTTGCGTGCAGGTGTGCTTGCACGAGGCACACACGCCCATGTATGTGCTGTCAAGTGTGCACTCGCTCAAGGGCGGGGGCGCATTTTTTGAGCCTGCCCCCCCCCCCCAAACACCCAATGCTGCCAACAGCCGGCAGCCCGCCTGCCCTGGTGTGTGAGGGACACGACTTGAGTATATAAAAGCCTATGCACGGGGCGCGCGTGGCCTCCTCGCCAGCACCAGACTCGCACGCGTATTCACTCATCATCGCCCCACCCCTTGCTCCCTGCCCGCAGGTACATCGGTAACGGCGCGGCGTCGGGCAGCGCGTAAGCTGTGCATGGGGGGACGAGTGTGTATACGCGAGGGGTCGATCCAAGCCTAGGTGCACAGCGGACGGCGGAAGCGGGACAGCTTTGGGTGCTCTCAGCGCCTCGTCGTTTGCCTTGAGGGGCGCATTGCTTTGCCAGGCGGCGCACCCAGTTTTGCAAGAGGCTCTTCCTGTCTTGGGTTGTATGGTGGTGGCAATGATAATGAGCGATCTGCCTTGCCAGTGGTACCTGGGCCCTGCTGCAATAAAATTTGTAATTTTGATCGTCTGATCGACCATGAACCTCTGCGGCAGGCGGAAGTTGTGGGCCACTCCATGCTTGCTGAAGACTGAAAAGATATTTTACACTCAGCAATGTGTAGCAGATGTGCTCAGCTGTGACATGGGCCAATGGGATAGGCCAGAGGCACAACAAAGTGGAGCGCGGCCACCACTAGGGTGGCGAGCCAGGGCTGCTAGGCCATGTCCACCCAACTCCTCAGCTGGCTTGTTGGTGTTGCGTCCAACATTTGCCCTCTGTGCCCCCCCTTGCAGGTACAGCTTGCACTTGAAGGTTTGGGGCACGGCGGCTCTGTCTAATGTACACAGCGGGACGTCTCAACGGGCAGCCGAACGGACGGCGCATGCAGCTTCGCGCGCTGCCCACTTGGGACAGCACGCACGTGTGGTACGGTCCTTTCTCTGCAGCTTAGAGCTTGCTTAAACAGCCGTCTGCTGCCGCAGTCGACTGCTGCTGCAGACAACATGGCGGTCGGCAAGAACAAACGCATCTCGTGAGTGCAACAGGGTGTTAATACCATGATTTCAAGACATTTACACGGGTGGAGCGGTCTCGAGGGCGTTGTGCCTGCTGCAGTGCTTGTGGGCGCGCCGGCAGAGCCCAGGCCGCGGGGCGAGGCTGGGCACTGCACAGCAGCGTGAAGTAGCATGTGATAGTTGTCAGCGACATTATCAAGTTCGGCACGAGGACTCCTGGACGACGAACAGCGAACGCGCAGTCTCGCCGTCCTTGATCTTGTGCATGGCTTGTGGGGCCGTGGCAGTGTCCAGCTTGTTTCTGTTGTCTCGAGCCTTCCACAGCGTCAGCGGGTGCACCGAGTGCTGTACGCCGCGACGTGCACGGCCGGAAGCTTGGGCGGCGCCACTGCTGCACGCGTGCAGCGGTTCTCGGCAGCAGCAGCGGGTCTAGCAGCAGTCGTGTTACGATACCCCCAGAGTGGGTAAAGCCAATTGCTGGTGCAGAGTGGCCCTGTTGGCCCGACTGGCCGTGCAGGTGCAGCTGGACGCTTCTGCATGCCCACGCCGGCTCGCCCTCGCGTCTGTGTCTGCTGCGCCCCAATCCCAGGAAGGGCAAGAAGGGCGGCAAGAAGAAGGCCGTGGACCCCTTCAGCAAGAAGGACTGGTACGATGTGAAGGCGCCCTCCATGTTTGTGGTCCGCAACGTCGGCAAGACGCTGGTGACGCGCACTCAGGGCACCAAGGTGCGCTGCTGTGGCTGCCGGTGAAATGCGGCGCAGGGGCGCCGCGCTGGCAGCTATAGGATGGGGGCCAATCAGACGGGTCCAGCGGTGACAGCAACAGCAAGAATGGCTAGCAGTTCGACGGGGGCCGACATCAGACTTTTTGCCATCCACGGCTCGCACCCATGGGTGCTGGTTGCAGCCCTGCACACACCAGCAGCTTTTGTGCTTCTGGGGCCGCTGGCGCTCACTTTCAAGGCCTCCTGGCCTTGATCCGCTGGGGCCCAGTGTCCCGGGTTTGTTGACTCTTTCTTCCTTTCTCTCCGCAACGCCCCCCCCCCCAGATCGCGTCTGACGGCCTCAAGGGGCGCGTGTTTGAGACCTCCCTGGCGGACCTGCAGAAGGTGCGTTCGCTGATGTGGCTGTACGCATATGGACAGGACAGGCAAATTGCAGGGTGAAGGGGGGCAGGCAGGGGGTGTGGCGACAGAGGCGGTCGGACGGGCGGCGGTTATTCACGGCAGAGCTGGCTGCGGACCCCCGGCTGCGGGCGCGCACTAAGCAAGATCGACAAGTGACAGCAGGCGTCAGATGGAGGTACATACGTGGGCAGGCAAACGTGCAGCAGCACGTGCTGCACAGCCAGCTGCTGGGCGGCTGTGGCGGCAGCGGTGGCAGCGGCGCCAGCACAGCTGCAGCGACTCATACAACAGCAGCAGCAACAGCAGCTGCAGCAGCAGCAGAGGAGCCAGCAGCGGCCGCAGTGAATGTGAAAGGTCTGGGCAGCTGCGCACATGCCAGCTGCGAGGCTTGGGTTGTGCTAGAATTATTCACAAAGCGTTGATGCGCAGGCACGCAAGCGCACACCCTTTTACCCATGCACATCTCGGTTTCCCTCTCTCTCCCGCTCTTTGGCATGCGCACCTGCACACGAAAGCGCGCGCACACACACACACACACACACACGCGCGCACACACACACATTCAGAACGAGGAGGACGCGTACCGCAAGATGAAGCTGCGCGTGGAGGACGTCCAGGGCCGCAACTGCCTCACGCAGTTCTGGGGCATGGACTACACCACCGACAAGCTGCGCGCCATGGTGCGCAAGTGGCAGTCGCTCATCGAGGCCCACGTGGACGTCAAGACCACCGACGGCTACACGCTGCGCATGTTCGCTATCGCCTTCACCAAGAAGCGCCCCGGCCAGATCAAGCGCACCGCCTACGCCAAGAGCGCGCAGGTGAACCCCGCGGCCGGCGCACGAGCGCGCGCCCCTGCCTCTGCCGCCTGACCCTGCGTCACTCGGTTTGCCGCTGAGGCCGGTCACTTCTGGCAGCAGCAGCCGCCGCCCTCCAGCGCTGCGCCCTGCTACCCAGGTACCCTCGATTTCCCCCGCGTCATTGCAACCCCTGCCCCCAAAACGCGCCACCCGCACCCCCTCCTCCCCAAACCACCCTCCCCCCCAGACCCGCACCATCCGCCGCAAGATGATGGAGATCATGGCGCGCGAGGCCTCCAGCTCCGACCTCAAGGACCTCGTGGCCAAGTTCATCCCCGAGGCCATCGGCAAGGACATCGAGAAGGCCTGCAGCGGCGTCTA